ACACACTCAGACTGAGCGCTTCAGAGTTTCACTCTCCGTCAAGCGATCTGTGCTATTTTTCAGTTAATCTCAATGGATGCGCAGCGAACCTGTGTTTGACGTACCGTGAACTCTAGTGTAACGGTGCATGACTCGCCGTCGCTTTGGTGAGAGCAGAAAGAGTGAGAGAGTCTTACATACATGCAGAATTGACGCGCTACATGTAAACGATACCGGGTTTTCCGGTAGTGGACGGTAATAATGCGCAAATGGCAATCTCATTGGCTGGTGCTCACCTATTGTCATCCCTGTTTTGATTTCAGTAAATCAGTTCGAGCGAATGCACACAACCTGATTAATATTCATTAATCCAGCAGCTTGTTAATCCTTAGTGCGTTTTATACTGTTCTTATTAGTAGAATTTGTATTATTATTATCTTATCAGTATTATTGTTAGTTTTTTCCCCATTTTTTTTTTTTTTTTTACAGAAACTCTGAATGACCAAAAAAGCACCACCACCAATCCTAAATTCAATTAAAATGTCTATGCATTCATACATGGTTACCAAATTTTAATTCTAATTACTAAAGTTCTATCATTAAATAATACTTGATTATCATAATATCATATTATAATGCTTGACTGACTGATGTTAAGAGTGTACTTTCAGATATTTTACAAACATATACACACATATACATATATATATATATATATATATAGTATATCAGTCTGGCGTAGAGGGTGTCCATAGAGGGTTGTGCTCATATAAATGCAAAGGACATCATCAGCTACCTGTCTATAGTGTGAATGCCCATGATGAAGGGCTGTACGTCTGGGTTTGGGGGGCAGCAGAATTTGCAGCGTGTCTGCGCACTGAGGGACGTCCCGTCACTGAGTGTGAAATGGTACAGAGGACTGATGGCCATGCCGTGGGTCATCACTGTCAACACACAAACACAGAGCATAAAAACTAGTTTGTTTTAGAGTTACCACATTTACAAATATCAACTTAGCAACAATGAGTCTCATTTGCTAACTATAATTGCATGCAAACATTTTCACTCAAAAACCATGATTTATCAGTAAGCCTGCACTACATACAGTATTCTCTCAATTTAGGATAAATCCACATGTATGCTGCATATTAACACTACCGTTCAAAAGTTTGCTGTCAAAAATGAATACTTTCATGCAGCAAGATACAATAAACTGATCAAAATTAACATGAAAACATTTACAAAATGCTTTTTTTTTTTACTTTCTATTTTTTTATTTTTAAGAATCCTGAAAAAAAAATCTATCACGTTTCTACAAAAACACATAGCAGTACAGCTGTTTTCAACATTGACAAGAATAAATGTTTTTTGAGCAGCAAATCAGAAAATCAGCATGACTTCTGAAGGATCATGTTACACTAAAAACTGGAGTAATGGCTGGTGAAAATTCAGCTTTGCCATCACAGGAATACATGAAATTATTAAAATATATTAAAATAGAAAACAGTTATTTTAAATTATATTAAACAATATTATAAATATGATTAAATTGTATTTCACAATGTTACTGTATTTTGAACTGTAATGTACAGTGGGTACGGAAAGTATTCAGACCCCCTTAAATTTTTTAATAAATCTGCAAAAATGTCAACAATTCTGTGTTTTTCTGTCAATATGGGGTGCTGTGTGTACATTAATGAGGAAAAAAAATTAACTTAAATGATTTTAGCAAATGGCTGCAATATAACAAAGAGTGAAAAATTTAAGGGGGTCTGAATACTTTCCGTACCCACTGTATATCCTATATTCATAAATATCCATTGCTTTTTATAACCTCTTGCACTTTGACAGGAGGAAAATAACATGTTCGGTCAATTAAACAGATAATAAAACTGATTTTTCTGGTAAATATAAACTGGCTACTGGATTAATTGAAGAAACAATACACAGATTGATCAGTTATCAAATATCAGATCAGATATTGGGCATATTAGAACACATTGAACAAGTGAATGAGACCAATGGTATGAATCAAAAGTGTAAATCATCAAATAAATCATAAATTCTCTAGGTAAAGAAAGGCAAGGGCAGATCATTACTGCTTTGAAATGTCAAGTACTACTCAAAATGGCTAGAATGGAGGTGAAAGCGCTCACCCTCATGAAGCAGCTTCTTGGCATGGGAGGGCTCATTGCCCTGAGGCTGGAAGAATGCGTAGATGCACTTCCTGACCAGGTCCTCCCAACCTGGTCGGCCTGTGGCCCTCAGAGCACTCGTCTCAATAGAGATGATTTTCCCTGCATGCACACACACACACACACACACACACACATCAAACATCGGGAAAGATCATTCGATTCTGTAAACAGGTCTTCAGGTTCAAGAGGAGGAAGCTTTTCAAATCACAGATTTAACAACAAACCATTTAGCACTGCCTTCTGCAAAAACAGAAAAAGAACATAGTTTCGTTTTCTGTTCTTGCAGAAGAAAAGCAGTTTTTGAAACAAGTTTCTTATGCACACTAAGGCTGTAATTAAGTGATCAAAAATACATTAAAAAGTAATATTGTGAAATATTATTACAATTTAAAATAACTGTTTATAGTTGTTATAAAATAAGTGCTTATAATCAAAATCATCTCAAGAACAAGATGCTGAAAAAACAGAGACGTACTGCAAAAGAGCGAGACAATCTAAAGTCTAACATGTTTACATTTACAGCAATTAAGAACATGTTCTGTGTGAACACCAGTGTCCATTTTTGTTATCAGTAACCTTACTAGTTTCTCTTGATAACTACAGATACTATTTCTTTTCATTCATCATTTTATTTCAGCAACAGCTATTTCAGCCACAGTTTTTCTGCTTTGCAATATTTGTTCTATTTTTAAAGGTATTTTTAATTCAATATGTTCAAATGTTTTAGCCTACGACAATAACGCTGCATGAGCTCTTCCATGATGATAACGTGGTCAGATCAACAGGTCCTAGCAGCTGATACTTGTGTGTGTATATAATGAAACACTACCTGTAGGGTCCTGCTTAGTGATGAAGGACTCTGTACTGACAGGGATCTGAGGTGGATGAGGCATTCGACTTGCTATACAGATTAAACAGCTCTGCAGGTCTGTGGACAACAGAGACAATTGTTTGAAGTGCTATATGCAACACATGCCGAGCATTTTTTCATAAATCTGTACAGAACATGATTAAACATAATTCAATTAGAAAAATGCAAAATAGAATAATTTTTATTAGTGGACTCAGACTTTTGAAACCCCCCCAAAAAACTGATTTCATATTTGAACACTGGCATGCCAATGACAGCTTCATCAGACTCCCTGCACTAAGCTAAATATTTATATGGGTATGACTTTGAGTATGTGTGTGGTCTCACCCTCACCCTCCTCCTGCACCGCTCTGGGCTGAGAGACCGTGAAGCACTGCATGAGCTCATACTGTTGACGGGCCTCCTGGTTCTCTGCGTCCACCTCGTCTGGAGGTCTTTTCAGCAACCTGCAGTTAAACATGTGGCTGTTCCTTCGGCCTTGCTCCTGAGGCCATGGCACACCGTTTACTGAAAACACACACAGATGTGCAAGGTAAGTATGAGATAAAAGACCACCAGTGGAGTGTCACTGAGCTCTGATATAAAAAAGGGGTTGACCTCTAACCTTTGTGCTAATATTTACAGTGAATGATCAACACAGAACCCTACCTGCCAACTAACACAAAAGAAACATACAGTACATAGTCTAATCCAATTCAACCACCATATCTTCTCCCATATCTCAGTTGGTTATGAAATACAAATACACATAAATTTAATATTAATTTAATACATTAAATTAATATTGCTAATAATAACAACAAAGCAAAATAAAATATAAAATTATACAAAAAGCTAACATTTTTATATATATCATCACATATAAAAGTCTTATCATATGTAATTTTTATATATAAGTTTTTTATTATTTTATATGATTATTTGCAATAAAATACTAAAAATAATATAAATATATATGATATAATATTAAATAGTATAATATATATATATATATATATATATATATATATATATATGTATATATATATATAAATAAAATAGTGCATGTATATAATATAAATGTATTTTGTATTATGATTAGCAATATTTTATTTATCTTATGACTGCCTTTAAATGTTAAAACTCTCAAAATATTTCAGTGTTGCTTTATCTACTCTCCTCTAACACACTTTGTAAACAAGTGTAATGTAATAAAGCGACAAGCAACATGTTTTTGTTCTAACCAGTGGTGACCATGGCAATTGATAGCCCCGCCCACAAAGAAATCACATTGGTTCAAATTCCTACTTGCCAAAACTGTACATTAATCATCAAATATCTTCTGAGTGGTTGTAATTTTGTCATGTCGCATCATGTCTGGTTAGGTGTAAAATTTTCTGTTAAATCTTTAGCTATAATTCTGCTTTTACTGTGGCCCTTCTCACCGAGAGACTCACCAAGGCTCTTGGGTAGCAGGTTGCGCACAAACTCGTTGTGATCACCCACATGAAGGATGCTGTAGACGCTGGAGGTCATCAGCTCTTCCTGGGTATAACCCAGATAACTGGTGACGTTCTCAGACACAAACACAATGCGCCCCTCGCGGTTCACGGCGAAAAAGAAGCCATTCAGGGCCTTGTGGAACAGGCAGAGAACAGAGATGGAAGACAAAAATAAGATGTATGTTGCACAAAGGTTTGTCATTCCCAACTATTGGAACTGGGCCAGGCTCAGATGAGGACAAAATAAAAATACTGGTCTACAGCAACACTCTGACATCATACAACCTCAATATCAGTCTTTTCAACAGATAAACAGTTTAAAAAGTCTAACATACCTCCAAGAGAAGTGGCCCAAGGGCTTCCTTCTCCACCATGCCCTGACTGCTTGACGATATGTCGCTCTTTTGCACCTCATCATCTGGAGACATCAGAGCTGCTTTCTCTGTGGACATACAAAGAACAAAATTTTTAAATCCCAGATAAGTGATACCAACGTTGTCTAAATTTGAGTGCATAAATATACACTATGGAGTCAGTAAACACAATTTTTTTTTTTTATCTTATTTAATTAATCATTTAATTATAATAAAGTATGCAATGTAATGTGACAGTCAAGATATTTGTAGTCATAAAATAATTCTATTTTAAATAAATGCTGTTCTTTTAAACTTACTGTTCATCAAAGAATCTTGAAAAAAAAAATATCATGGTTTCCACAAAAATTAATAATAAGAAATGCTTCTTGAGCACTAAATCAGCATATTAGAATGATTTCTAAAGGATCATGTGACACTGAAGACTGGAGTAATGGCTGCTGAAAACCAGCTTTGCCATCACAGGAAAAGTTACATTTTGAAATATACTCAAAAAGAAAAGTTATTTTAAATTGTAATAATATTTCAAAATAGTACTGTTTTTACTGTATTTTTGATCAAATAAATGCATCCTTTGTGAGCATAAGACATTTCTTTCAAAAACATAAAAATAAATCTTACCAACCCCAGGTTATTTGAACGCTAGCATAACAGTGAAACACACAGTCACTTTTTTATTTTTTTGCCTCACGTTTTAGTTCCTGGTTTCGAGAACAGTTTGTGCTGTTAATGTAATCCACACCTTCCCAACAAATCTTACACATCCATATCTATCAGAGCTTTCTCTAATGTGTAAGCGGCTTTTATTCACACACAAAAAACATGCATCATTTCACTATTGTCCTCCTTCCTCTCTTGGACTGGGTGGATGAAAGCTACGCAGCGGAAGCCTCTCTAACACTAATGTGAGCAAAGTGGTACTTTTGGACAGGAGCCAGCCGCAGTAAGTGCAGCAAGCAAGCTTGAGACCGATGAGTCACAATTCGGTCACTCCCGTCCCAGTTCGATTCAAAGAGCTGATATAAAGTGTCAATGATTATTCTGCTTAACCTTCTTTCTCCACTCGAGATCAAAGCTTCTGAAGGACCGCATGAGAACACGGCTCAGTCCAGCAGCTGGAGAGAGGAGAGGATGAGACTGTTTGTTTTGGGCTGCATTTTAAGCGAAGACTTCTTGAAGGAAAGACTAAATTTAGATCAGAGTTCGAGCGCCGTATTTACACACATAATAGCAACGTAGCTCTCAACGAGGAACTTCTGCAGAGCGCTCAATTAAGCGACGACATCAATCTGGTTTGTTGCGTTCTGATCTCTGGAACGCAAAAGTTTAAAATTAGGTCAGTTTGGTGGGAGGAAATAGGAGTTTTGGGGGTTTTACAGAGACGTTAGGCGAATGTTTGGCCAATTTAAAGTAAGTAAAGGGAATGACCGTTAACTTCAAATGTCCACACAACTATTTCTATTTTGCATAGTGGTCAATTGACATGGATTTTTTGTCGGCTGATGCTGATATCTTACAGTGTGATCATACAGACTGATGGCTGAGATAAGGCTTATATACATCACACTATTTAATTTAAATATAGTAAATAACACATGCTGGAACAAAATCACGGCTGCAAGTTCTGCATAGTGCAATAGTGCTGCAATAGTGTCCTGCACCCACTAGTAAAAAAAAATGTACAAATTATATCTGGTCTCTGAATAATTTTTGGTTTGACTGTATATCCTTCGGTTATTTTCACACTTAATTATGCCCATTAAAGGGGTCATATGATGCTGCTAAAAAGAACATTATTTTGTGTATTTGGTGTAATGAAATGTGTTTATGCGGTTTAAAGTTAAAATAGCACATTATTTTCCACATACTGTACATTATTGTTTCTCCTCTATGCCCCGCCTTTTTGAAACGCATCGATTTTTACAAAGCTCATCGGTCTGAAAAAGTGAGGTGTGCTGTGATTGGCCAGCTATTCAGTGCGTTGTGATTGGCCGAATACCTCAAGCGTGTAACGGAAATGTTACGCCCCTCACCATACTGTTGATGCCGTGTCCCGGCCGGAGTGAAGAGACATTAAAACCCATTACAAACGAGGCATTTGTTGCATCCAGTGTTGACATAATTACTGATTATAATGACTTATACTGTCTTTTTACACGTTGCGTTGCATCGCGTAAACATAAAACCATGTCTGTTTCAGAAATAGAAGTCGCGTTTTTTTCATCTGAAACGTGCTGCGATTTATATTCCAAAGCCACTCATATAATGCAGAAACACTCAAGCAAGCAAAACGCGCAACGCGTGCACGTATTTGTACTGGTGCAAAATGAGAGGGACAAGTACAGCCTAGTGCATTTCACACAGGCTGCTAGATTCACTTTCGCCAGAAAGTCGTGTATGCCTAAGGTTGAAAATAA